TAATGTAAACTCAACCCCAACACTATCTGCAGGGGCTTCCAAAGTTCACGGGATTATCTCCATCCACTTTGTGAAGCCCGGGCATGTTTGTGCACTAATGTTCATTGCACTCTAGTCACAAAATCCAGGAGGTGGAAACGGCCCAGATGCCTCTCAGCACATGCACAGACACAGCAAATGTGGGACACGTATACAAGGGACTATCCTTCAGCCATTGGGGAAATGAAGTCCTGATGCGTGCTACCCCATGGAGCAGCCTAAAAACATCCCGCCACGCAAATAAGTCAGCCACAGATGGCCGCCCACTGGGTTATCTCACCTGGAGAAACTATCTGAGACAGGCAACTACATAGTAACATGTGATTGTGTGCTAAGGGTGAGTGGGAAGGGGGAAATGAGGAATATACAAAAAGACAATTGTAACACGTTACCTCTTTCTGGCATAAGGAATGAACCATTGCCCGACCCTGTAATTTCTTTGGCCTTGTCTGCAACTCTGCGAGGACAGGTGCTTCCCCTGGGACCCTGCTCCACCAGCCAGACACTGTCATGTAAAGCCACGCTGTGGCTCTGTGTGGTCACCAAGCCACCGACCTCATCGTGCTGGCTTCCCGAACTTCCACATTATCCTTGGTTCTGTAGTCTTCTTTCTCCTCCATGCCTGGCACGTTCCTCGGGGTCCTCCTCACCAAGGGCCTCCGTAAGAAGCCAGGGGAGAAGTGCGGCCTGCGAGGCTGTGGCGAAGCGTAGCTACAGGCGGTTCCCCCAGGCCAACAGGGTCAGGAAACCCCCAGCTCGGGAGCCCCAACATCCCAGTGGCTGTGGCTTCCATGACCGCAGCCAGGGGCAGGCCTGCCTGCTGTGGCAAACCTTTCCTTCAAGAACGAAGTGGACGGAAACCGAGCCCAGCGTGCTCAGCGTTCTTACAGAGCTCCACCCATCTGTAATTTTAAGAAATGGAGCCTGGTTTGCTCCTGACAGGGTACAGTGCTGGTTTCACCAAAAGCCGGTGGATGAGCCTTCCTGGCTCAGGAGCTAATGAGACGAGGCAAGAGAAACAGATAACTGAGGGCCTACTAGTCAGAGAGCCCCGGGGCCACCACGGATGGCGGTGCCCTTGGCGGCAGAGCAAAAATGGTAGGTGACTCAAGGCCCCCCCGGTTGCTTCCCAGGAGAAAGCCCTGCAGTTGTTCCCATAACCAAGACAGGCAGGCAGCCCTGTGGGGCAGCCGTAGCCCATCTCACGGGGCTGCTCAGCGGTGGAACCGATGCCACAGCCTCCAACAACCTGTCACATGACCGGCATGCCAGGAGCCCGTCCAAGCATAAAACCAAAGTGGATGCCGACTCATAGGGCCCTGCAGGGCAGGGGAGAACGCCCCGTGGGACCCTGAGACGGTAACTCTTCCCGGAAGTAGAGAGCCTCGTTCTTCTCCTGCAGAGCAGCTGGTGGTTTCCAACCGCGGACCTCGTGGTCAGCGGCCCAGGGCGTCACCACCACGCCCCCAGACCTCCTCGCCAGGAGGCGCATTATAGCCATCCTCACGGCAATCTTGGCAAACTGTCATTCAATACTCCCCGTTTTCAGATTAAAGAGCAAAACCGGAGACGATAAAAACCTACTCACTGCTAAACGACCAAGCAAACACTGAAGCACAGGTTTATCGGCTGTCATTCAGTGCCTCCCCCTGATCCGACAGAGTGTGGTAAATCCTACGCACACACCCCGCCTGCGCACACAGCTACTTCCAGGATGAGGTCTGAGGAGCGGGGTCGAGCTGTGAAGAGGACATGCCCTTTGGGAGCGTCGGCCTGGGGGTGAGTCCTGTGGAGCCCTGGACAAGTCACTGCTCTGCACAGCTCGCTGTGGAGTGTGGCAGATAAAACTGCTCCCTCGAAGGTGCATTACACAGCAGAGATGGGCCGACTCTGACCAAGGCCAGCCCACCACCTGCCTCTGTTTGGCCCACAAACTAGGAACAGGTTTCATATTTTAAAGTGGAGGAAGAAAGGTTAAAATAGGTCTATTTCATGACTTGTGCAGATTACGTGAAATTCAAATCCCAAGAGTCCACAGTGAACGTTTTCTGGAAAGACCACCCTGTTCATTGGTTCACATGTCATCCTTGGGGGCATTGTGTCCCTGGGAGGAGGGAGTGGTTCCCACAGAGGCGGCGTGGCCTGGAGAGCCTGGATACTTACTCCGTGAAGACAGACAGACCTGCACACACCAGCGTCTCGGGGACGGTGACGTGGGACCTTGCAACACTGCTTACTCTGCTGGATTTAAAGATGCGGGGAGTTGGTGCTGATGACCATGACAGGGAGAACTAATCAGATGCGGGACATTTGCGGCAGAGCGCCAGGCACATAGGAGATGCTCACAGGTCAGCCCAGCCAGACTGCTGGCTTCCCGGCCTCTGGGGCCCTATAGCAGCATTAGCTGGCATGCGAAGTACAGGGTCTTCTTGATTCCTAGGATCAGTTGCCATAGCAAACACAACTTATTTATTAAAAAACAAAAAGGCCAATTAAAAGTTTTCTCTGCTCCTCTGGGGCCACCCTGGAGATGCCAGCCCACATCCCAGGTCAAAAGCCAGCCACACTTGCATGTCAACACCACATCAGCTATACTAATTGGTCGGCTGAAGGACGAGTCTAATTAAGAGCAGAGCATAATTGATTCTTTAATAATCCTCACAAGCTTATTTTCAACCTTGAGAAACACAGGATCGATCGGCTGTGGGAAGCAATCGGTTCCCCTGTTTACTGTAAACAAAATGCCCTGCTGGGTTATGGACCAGACAGGGCAGGCAGCTGAGCCCTGAATGCAACACCTTTCGCCACAGGGGGCAAAATTTCGCAATCCCCTAGGCTACGCTTGCTGGGGGACAACTAGTCTCCCCACTTCCCAGAGACAGATAACAGGGTAAAACCACGGTGAGGAGAAGTAAGTACCCTTTCCTTGCTCTGGCAAGTGGGAAGCACAGCACCGGGCGGTGGGTCCCCCAGTCACTGGATACCGCAAATCCACTGGCATCGAGCTGATTCCAACTCCCATCAAGCAGAGTCCAACTACCCCACGGCTGTGAGTCTTCATGGCCACACACAGCCACATCTTCCCCGAGGAGGGGCAGGGGTGTTGAATCCCCAAACCTCCAGGTAGCAGGCAGCATGTCACCACTGCACCACCAGCACTCCTACTTGCACTGAGGCACCTGGCTAGAACAGCAGCATTGATGACTAAGCTCAGGAAGGGGACCCGCACTGTAAAGAACGAATCTGAAAATTTAAAGCAACTCTCTCTGGGGCGCAGAAGTGAAATACCACCTCACAGTTATTACGCTCCTGGGTGAGTAGCGCCTCCCGACTTTATTCAATCAGAGTGTGCATGTGGCTCTCCCAGGCAGGTGCTGTTGGTGAGTCTGAGCAGCCCTGGATCACTGTCTTTGTGACTGCATGCTTTTATTTCATTGTATGTAGGAGGCAAACATCTATTAAAGTGTGCTATACGTACACCCCTAACACATGGTGTAAATGTGCAGACAGGCCTGGGTTCCAGATCAGTGCGATCGAGTGAACATTGCAGCAAAGTAAGTGAGTCCCACGAGCTTTCTTGTTTCCCAGCTTATCTGAAATTATGTGTACATCAGACTGCTGTCTATTATGTACGCAATAAAGCTCAAAAATCTCACTGCCATTGAGTCGATTCTGACTCAGGGCTCCTATGTGTGCAAGAGCAGTCCGAATAAGTCTGAACCATTGTGGGAATGACCAAAGTGTGACACACAGATGGCCAGTGGGCACGCGGTGCTGGAACACGGGTGCCCATCGACTCGCACAACACAGGGTTGTCACAGACTTTCAAGGAGCACCACATCCGGTGCCTGTGAAATAAAGTAGCGTGCCAAAAGGAGAAGCCATTTCTCTTGGAAGAAGCACAGCCAGAGTGCTTCTTAGAGGCAAGGACGGCAGGACCTTGTCTGACATACTTCGAGCACAGTGTCAGGAGAAACCAGTCGCTGGAGAAGGGCACCATGCTGGGTGAAGCAGAGGGGCGGTGAGAAAGAGGATGGGCCTAAGGAGATGGATCCACACAGCGGCTGCAACAGTGGGCTCAGGCTTTGGCACAATTGTGAGGACAGCGCAGAGCTGGGCAGCGTCTCACTCTGCTGTCCACAGGGTCACTGTGGGTCAGAACACGAACCGATGGCATCTAACAACAACAACAACAACATACAGGCACACCTTGTGTTGCTGCAGATCTGGTGTACACATAATGTTATACACCCTGGGTAACGAGAAAGCTCATGGGACTCACTTTACTGCAATGTTCGCGTGAGTGCATAATCTGGAACCCAGTATGCGCCATCTCCCAGGACAGCCAATGAACGTACAGCCTAAAAGAATCAGTCAATGAGAGGTTGACCCTGATACAGTCTTAACAATTTGCCACCAATGGGACAACCCGTTCAAGGGGCATACTATAATTAATAAAGTCTATGCTTTGCCTCCTAGTGAAGTGAGTACCACCATGGGTCTGAAGCCTCACGAGCAGTCTTTTTTTTTTTTTTTAATTAGATATAGTTATGGTCTAATCATCAGGAGCAAAAGAGAAAGGAGGAGACCAAAGAGGCGGAAGAAGCCAGTCTACAGACCCAAATAGCCCACCCGAGGCATACACAGTCTCCCCTACCTGAGACCAGAAGAACTAGACGGTGCCCAGCTGCTGACTATTCTGATCAGGGCCACAATAGACGAAGCCGTGAAAACAGTCTCGGAGGGAAGTGCAGAAGAGAGCTCAAATTCTTAACAATTCTGACTTCCTGGACCAGGTGAGAGCAGAGAGCTCCCTAAGAATGTGGTCCTGCACTTGAACTGTAACTGTCTTTAAGGGGACCCTGTTAGGAAATGACAGGCACACAAAATAAGTTATATGTGAGTGTGGTGCTCCATTAAGAACTATATAAATAGGCCGATGCCCTTGGGTCGTGCCGGGCACAGCAATCATGGTGAACTTAATTCAGATGGTGCGTGACCACTGGGTTCATATCCTGGTCCCTATGGGATTTGTCGTTGGATGTTATCTGGACAGAAGGAATGATGAAAAACTGACTGCCTTCCGGAATAAGAGTTTATTATTTAAAAGGGAGTTGAGACCCAATGAGGAAGCTACCTGGAAGTGAAGGCTGTGGCTGATTACAGAATGCTCACATTTCAAAAACCAGGCAAAAAATAAAACCATGTTTATTTAAAAAAAAAAGAATTATATAAATAAAACTAAGAGATCAACAATCACTCTAAAGCAAAGATGAGAAGATAAGGGAGAAACAGGGCAGCTCAACCCCTGGAAACAACCAACCAGAGCACAGTGTGAGCGCAGGTTGAAATGTTGTGAAATGGTAGCTGATACAACCAGAGCACAGTGTGAGC